TCTAATAGCTAGTTCCCTCCAAAGTTTTCCTCAGGATAGCTGGCATTCAATTGTCACAGTTCCATTTGAATAGGAATGATTGGAGACCCCAGCCATGACCTACTCTCTAACTCGGAATGGGTCAACACTCCCAAATATGGAGCTGTCCCTTGCTCTGCCACCATTGCCTCAGTGTCAGAAATGAATGTAAGTGCCAAGTGGATGAACCAAACATCTGGCTAAGGTTACTAACGCAGTGCCCATGAGATCCCGAAAGGGTGTCGGTCGATATAGACACTGGACAGTGGCCACAAAATTCAGAATCCATTAAGGAGTACATGCAGATCATAATGGTCATGCAAACTAACAAAGGGAGGGACAAGCACTATTATTATTTGGTAATTTTTGTAGGGATTTTCAAGTTTTGATTGATTCATTCATTTTCTATGGCTTATCAATCCTTTGCTTGTTATTTAAAGCCAGAAAATATTTTTAGATTGTGAGAATTTTTTTTTTTTTGTGATAATAATGATTTAGTGATACAAGTCTTACTATTTAATCCATAGATGGGGGTGGAAGTGGTAGATTAAAATCTAATCAAAATTTGATAAACAAATTATAATGTGAAGATAAAGTGGGAGGTCAATTTTATATTACAATCATAAACTGATCCCTCACTTTGTGGCCGGAGTAGTTGCTATACATTTCTATTCCAGAGAATGTAAATAAATCTAAAAGTCTGTGTAGCTAATCAGTATTTCATTGATTGGTTGATTCATTTTCTATGACTTATCAACCTTTTGCAGGTTATTTAAAACCATAAAATATTTTTAGATTATAAGAAATTTTTTTGGAAGATAATAATGGTTTAGTTAAACGTTTTATTAATTAGCCCATAGCTGGGGGGAGAAGAGGTGGATTCATACCTTTCCCAAGGGTAAAAATATAAAATAAATCAGTGTTGATTCTGATTATAAGTGTCCATTTTCCTTAAGATTTCCTCATTGCTTGCATGCTCCATACATGGTATTCATAGTATCTTTCTGTAGCCTTCTCTTCATCTGTGAGGTGATTGTCCAGCATTCATTACCATATAGGAGGATCGATATTGCATAACAGTTTAGCACTTTTGAACTATAAACAATCAATGGAAAACAAACATCAACAATGAACCAATTACAAAACATTGGATGAGATTATTTATTGATTTATATTTTATGGCTTATCAACCCTTTGTAGGTTATTTAAAGCCAGAAAATATTTTTAGGTTGTAAGAATTTTTTTTAGATATGATAATGGTGTAGTGATACAAGTCTTACTAATTAACCTATAGCTGGGGGAAGAGAAGAGGTGGGTTCATGCCTTTCCCAGCAGTATTTTTGCTTTCATCCACTAACTTATCAAAATCTTTCTTTCACTTTTTTTTCCTTGGTTGCTCATCAACATAGTATCATCTGTTTCTCTTACTTTGTTCAGTTTGTGTCCACCAATAAAAAAAAAAAATCCTGGAAGGTCTTCTGGTTCTCTTACAATTGTCTCACTGTCTAAATTTGGTGAGAAAATGTATTATTGAAACCCAAATGCTGCAAATTTCCTCGGCATTCAGCAGACAAGTTTTTGTCTTCAGTTATATGTGTGTTGTGGTGCAATGTATAACAGCTCAGAATTGAGACATTGGAGAGCCAAGTTCCAATTCCAGTTGGGGTTGTTACCTCCACTTACATGCGATTACTTTTGGGAATCAATCTCAAACATACTCCCACCCCAGGCTATGAGTTGAATAGCAGGATAAACTGGGACCTATGGCCTTGGTTAGTAATCAGTCTTTCGCAGAAAGAGCAGCACCCTGCTGTGGGAAAATCTTCTGTCTAGTCAATCATGAATTGAAAGAGACATGATTGCCCAAGCATGTATCACATATGGCATTTACCTGACTTGTTATTATGGTTGAATAGCAAGACAGACTCCGACCTATGGTCTTGGTTGGCAGCCGGTCTACTGCAGAAAGAAATGGCAACCTACTGCAGGATAATCTTCTGTTTAGTCAGTCATGAATCAAAGGAGACATGATCACCCAAGGATGTATCACGTATGGTACTTAACTGACTGATTGTTGTTATTATGGTTGAATAGCAAGACAGACTCCGACCTATGGTCTTGGTTGGCAGCCGGTCTACTGCAGAAAGAAATGGCAACCTACTGCGGGATAATCTTCTGTTTAGTCAGTCATGAATCAAAAGAGACATGATCGCCCAAGGATGTATCACGTATGGTACTTTACTGACTGATTGTTGTTATTATGGTTGAATAGAAACACAGACTCCGACCTATGGTCTTGGTTGGCAGCCGGTCTACTGCAGAAAGAAATGGCAACCTACTGCGGGATAATCTTCTGTTTAGTCAGTCATGAATCAAAGGATACATGATCACCCAAGGATGTATCACGTATGGTACTTAACTGACTGATTGTTGTTATTATGGTTGAATAGCAAGACAGACTCCGACCTATGGTCTTGGTTGGCAGCCAGTCTACTGCAGAAAGAAATGGCAACCTACTGCAGGATAATCTTCTGTTTAGTCAGTCATGAATTAAAAGAGACATGATCACACAAGGATGTATCACGTATAGTACTTAACTGACTGATATTTTTATGTTTGGATCTCTTCCCATCATGCATGGATTTTATTCTAATGAAACTTTTACTAATGTATCGGTTGACTTCGAATTTTTGGTTTCAAAATTTGGCCTTAAAAGCTTGACTTATCTTAATTCATGTAGGAATTTGAATATATTTTAACATTTGCAGCAGTCAGGTTTGTGGATTCAGAGTTTGGAAAAAATGATTGATAAATTTTATAGATATACTGTCTATCCTTCTTAATAAATATAGAAAATTACAGTGTGCGATGGATAAATGTTGTCCAAATGGTACAAAAATGAAAATAACACTGAAATCTTATTTTAACAGATGTATTTACGAAAATTACACAAAAATATCTTGAAATACTAAAGAGTAAATTTATTCAGTAAAATCACCATTGGCTTCAACCATGGCTTCCAGACAACTTCAGAATCTCCTGCAATTCTTCTGGATGCTCTCCTTGATTGATGGTTGGTGAATGCTACCATAATACTTGCCTTCAGTTCATCTTTGTTGTTAAAAGGAGTTTTGTTTGTCTCTTGCTCAACTGTGCCCCACACATAATAATCAAGGAGGTTGCTGTCTTAGGTGGTCAGCGTTAATAAGTGATGAGGTCACCAAAATTGTCTGACTGCCATGACTGGATTCTCCTGTTTATGTGACATGGTGCAGAGTCCTGTTGCCAGACATAGGGTCTTCAGCAACCACCCTCTTGACCCAGGTTAGGACTACCTCCTCAAGGCACTTGAGGTAGGCCTCCATGTAGAGTCTAAGGCCATCAGAAACAAAATCAGGTGATCTTTCCTCATCAGAATGATCGGAGTGAGTTTTCCTTGCTGCTGTAATTCGTAATCACCATTACACTCATCCAACTCTTTCCAAATTCTCTGCACAGTTTGACACTCAAACACTCTGAAATGTTTGTATTGGAGCTTCTGGTGCGAATGCCAAGCAGTACAGCATGTTGTTTCCAAATTTCTGGCTGAGTGAATTGCGTCATGGCACTCTTTTTCTCACAGACAGTGGCCCAACTGACCCTACTATACTCTGCAGTCAACAAAATTATAAATATAAAATGATGACAATTTACCTTTCTCACTTTTATATAAACATAACATAATTCAGAAATACATGAATAAAGAAAACTCGGGCTGTAGCATTGGACATCTTGAAAGCCTTTGACAGGGTGTGGCATTCAGGTCTTCTCTACAAGTTGAAAAGTGCTGATCCGGTCATTCCTATCAAAGCGTGAAATGAAAGTTGTCCTGAATGATCACGCATCTACATCTTTTTGTACTAATGTGGGTGTCCCCTAGGGTGCCATTCTTTGTTCTATGCTGATTTTAATCTTCATTAATGATCTTCCTGATGACATCAGCTCTCAATTTGACATCTATGCTGATGACGCTACCATTTACTCCTGCCTCGATAGTAAGGCTTATCAGTTCAACAAGGTCAACATGGCAGCTGGTGTCTAAAACAACCTCAAGACAGTTGTTAAGTGGGGCAAAAGATGGCTTGTCAATTTTCACGCTTCCAAAATTAAACTTCTCTCTATTAATCTTCAGAACGACCCCTCTCTGCCTTCCATCAGCATGGCTAACCACCAGGAAAGTGACTCATTGTGCCTTCTTGGGCTCACATTCTCTGCTGATACAAAGTAGAAATTGAATTCATTGCTAGGTCATCTACCTTGCATATCTATGTCTACCATTCATCTATGCTTAGAATATTGCTGCCATATATGGTCCAGTGCCCTGGACCTCCTTGATAAGATCCAAAAAAGAATTGGCAATATTATTGGTCCTGATCTGACAGCTTGGCTTCTGTCATCCACTACCATAATGTTGCCTCTCTTGATTTTTTTCCCTCTTTTTCTGTGTGTGTGTGTGTGTGTGTGTGTTTCAAATGCTATGGTTGTTTCTCCTTTTCATCATTTTCTTGTCATTTCTCTCTCTTTCCTCTCTCTTTCTATTCCTTTTCTTTCTTTAATGTAACAATGTCATTTCCGGTATCACAGACAGAACCTTTTTTTTATGTTTTTCAGATAATTAGCTTGCTTAAATGTTCTGGATTCTTTGGGCAATCCAGATATATTCCTTTTATTTATTTAAATAAGTTTTTTTGTGATACAGAATTTAATAATAGCTAGGAAAAGGCAAAATTTATAAGGTATTTCATATACAAGGACTCTAGAACCTTTTTATTTATATCTTGCTTAATTAATTTTTTTATTTACCTAGATTTGTCTGCTTTTAGGAATAGTTTTTTGAGTTGTTTATAATTTTTAGATTTTTTCAAGTCTTTGTAGAAAATTATTGTTGGTTTTCTCTTATTAGTAGAAAATTGTAAACATTTTCTAACATTTCTCAATTTCAGTCACATTTGTATTCTTTGGGCTGGACACTTATCGAAGCAAATGGAGGAAAATTTGATGAAGAAAATAATGGACTGTCCAAACTCGTAGACTGCTTGACTGCCCGATTACCAGAAGAACGTCCAACCATCCAAGAAGTCATCGATATTTGTAATTCTGTTCTTCAAAATGAGTCCTCAGAGAAAATATGTCAAGAATTGTTCGACAGAGTTGAGAAAAATACAGATAATGGTAAGAATATTTGTCAGTAGATGATCTACTACTTTTAATCCAGGTGTTGCGACACTCAGGTGTGTGAAATTTGAAATTTAAAGGTTTTGATATTGAAAATTCAAAGATAGACAAAATAAGATATATTAAAATCTTCAAAAAGGAAGTGTTAGTATCTGTCTATATTACTGAGATGAGGTATAATGTACACTATTTACATTATTCGGACTATTGTCCTCATCCTTGTCGCCATATTTATTACAACGTTTTGGCCTTTCAGTGTGTTTCTATATTTCTGAGATGAGGTATTATGTACACTATTTACATTATTCCTCATCTTTGTCCTCATCTTTATTACAATGTTTCCGGCCCTTCAGTATCTGTCTATATTTATTGACAACGTTTTATTCGGTCCTTCATCTTTATCTGTCTATATTTCTGAGATGAGGTATAATGTACACTATTTACATTATTCGGACTATTGTCCTTATCTTTCTCGCCATATTTATTACAACTTATAGTCTGAATAATGTAAATAAGGAAGTGTTAATGAAATTTGTTCAGGTTTTGGTGGACATTTTTTTTCAATTTTTGTTTTCTGGCAACATCAAAACTTCCAAATAAGATGTGAAAAAAATAGAAACAATTTTAGAAAAAAAAGCAGACACAATCAAAAGGGAACAAAAATGGAAAACGACTATAATAGTTTCATATGAAAAAGAGAAAAAAAAATGAACTAGCTGGTCATTGCTCCTCCATCAGCAGAACTTGATTGAGGAAAGTAAAATTTTTGTTCACACCAACTAAAAACAGAAACATGAAAAATAAAATACATGCATATCAGTAATATATTGAGATGGGTATATTTTTATAAAAACCACATTGAGGCCTAACAACTGGTTTTTCTGTTTGCATCAGGATGGTTGTCTTGATTTGATAAGAATAGTTTCAAGGACTTTTAAATAATAATAGGAATGTGATCATCACAAAACTGAGAACATGACTTGTTGGAAGGACAATGCTGATTTTGTATAAGATGTTCTACAATTGCAGAGCTGGATGTAATGACACATTTAGGTAAATTATCTAGCCAACCTTTTCTACGTGACACCCCAGGCAGGTTGAGCTATTCTCTTCTTTAGAAATTGAGTGTTTCATACTTATGTAGCCAGCCTCACACTTACATTTAAATGAATAATTTACATAACTAGTTTTAAATATGTGTGTGCGTGTGTGTTTGTGTGTTTTGAACAATAAAAAATATTAAGAAATTAAAATTTTCAGACATATTGGGTTATATATTAATAATATTTTGTTTTATTATTTCAATTAAGTTCCTCAGTATATATATATATATATATATATATATATATTTATTTAATCAGTATCACTCCATGCAAGGCAGTAATGCCACTAAGACACAAGAAGTTACAGGTATGGAAGAATTAGGAACAGAAACATTAATAATGTGTGGGAAGATGAAGGAGTAATCAGGAGGACAGTAGATAAAAATTGACATAGCATAGGGAGTTACACAAGCAAAAAGGGTGAGTAAAGAAACTGTTAGTATAGAACTTTCAACTACATGTATCCAACTCAACTGTAAATTGATGAGATCTCAATGCCAGTCTAGTACCATAGTAACAAGCAATATTTATTTGTATCTATTGGGCTGCATTTAAGCTAGCTCCTGTGGCTTTTAAAAGTTCAACAATAATTCTTCTGCCACCACTTTATTTAAAGTAAGCATGTTCACTGTTTTCGCGGGAAAACAGCATATAGCGTAATGAAAATGCCACAAACCTAACTAAAATAAAGTTTTATCGTCAAAATGCTTATGTTATTATTAAGATGAAAGACCAAAGTATTTTTTAATTATTTTTTGAAATTTTTTAATCCTTTCTAACACGTTCAAAATTTCGGTTAAATTCTTCTTTTGTTTACATCATCGCGGCGTCACAGAAAATAATATATTTTTTTTTGCGATTTTTTTTTCCGTTGAAAACATATTGATTTGGAAATTCTTGTAAAAATCAAGTAATTGTCTGATTTTAATGAAATTTTCAGGACTTATTCACAAATCAATGAAATTATTTTTGAAATATTTTCTTTTTTAGAAAATTTTGGTAAAAATATATTTTTTAAAATATGTTACCCACATTTACTTAATTTAATGAAATTTCGCCCAAAACCTTTTTGGTTCCTGAATTTTTTTTTTTTTGTTAAAAGTAGGAGTCTTCGAAGATGGTAAATAACCTCCTTTTTTTTTTTTCAAATTTGAGCTATTTAACTGAAAATCTGCTCTGAATTGAAAAATAATGAATCCAATAAAACTATGATATTACTTAATTAGAAAAGCTTTTAATTGCTTTTGTAAATAAGTAATATTAAGGACATTATTGTCTGAAGAAATAATTTTTTTCTGATGAATAATTAATTTTTACAAGAATTTTTTTCGTTTTTTAAGAAATTTTAATTATAATGATTTATAATAGTTTTAAATCGTGTAAAGCTCTGTATTAGGAGGGTTCCTCGAGGTGATGTAGTAATTAAGTAGAAAAAAAATTTACGAGTCCAAAATTGCTAAGTTTAATAAATTTAGCTGCGCTACTTTTTTTAAAAATAATTTATTATGTTGTATTTTTTTACTTAATACATTCCTTATTTCCATGTATGATATACAGAAATTGCCATTATTATAACAAGGTCACATGATCTAAGGGTTTTCTCCCTTTACATGGCCTTTTCATAACATTTCGTTTCTTACAGGTTGTATTTTCCGTTCAGCTTTAAAAGTGTAAACTTTAAATTTTAAATTATTTTTTCTTTTTTTCATTTACTATTTCACTAAATAATTTTATTTTATGTATTGTATTTCCATTAGTGTGTGTCATACTCAAATAGAATAATTTTTTTAAAAACTCAGACTTAAAAATTATGTCATTTATGGTCATCAGTAGTAGCTGTCATCGGTTCGTCATTGAACAATCCATCAATAGTTCGATCAGATGAACATGACCGCTCGTTAATAATTGGTTGTATATTATTTTTTTATGCGATAAGTAAGAAAGATTTCTTTCAAATCAGATTACTTTAACTTTAAATTTTTTAATTTTACTAAAATAACATGTCAGAAATTTTCTTAAATATTTTCAAAATCGATAAATTTGTGTTTGTTTACAAATTTCTTAAAATTAAGAAAATGGCCGATTTTAAGAAAATTAAAAAATTTGAATTTAAATTTGACAATCAAATGTATATAGTTTCTATCTGAAATACATCAGAATTGTTTAATTAATGGAAATCATAAATTTAATGATTAAACCTTTTTTAAAGCTAAAATAAAATCTTCAAGAATGTTTTTTCTTTGTAAAAAATTCATTTTAAACTTAAATATAGAAAATTTATGCCAAAATAGTGGAGAAAATAATTTAAAGACAATTTGATGTATGTAGGTCCTTACTTACTTATAAACAATTATTTTTTTTTCATGGGTGACTTTTGCTGGATTTCGCAATCAATTTTGATTATTCCCAAATTTATTTCTAAGTTATAAAAATTGTTATTGTACAAAAAAATATTTGTTGCAAAAAATCACGTAAAAAAATTGTGGCAAACAATTGCAGTAATGAAAACTTGGGAATCCAAAATTTCAGGATTGCTGGTCCTGATCCGGCCTGGAATGTTTTTAATTTCCTCACAGAGTCGGCCTGATTCCAAAAGTGATATAATATATTAAGATATGGCTTCTAGGAGTAAAGTTGAACACATGTGACACACTGACATTTCCATTTATTATATAGATGAATACAAAAATGTGGTTCAAGGATGGAATGGGGAAAAGAATGGACTTCATCTGTATTTATAATTAAATTTACCTAGCCTCAATTACTAATACAAACATACCAAAAACAATGTATTTTTACTTAACATTCTTACTACATCCAACATAATATCTCAGAATTTCCATGAAGTCCTAACTAGACCCCATATGTATAATTCTTGTCTGTACAAAGAGGGGAATAAAACAACAATTTAAAAAAAAGTCTAAACCCCAATGAGAATTTAGAATATGAGATCAGCTATTTACAAGAAAGTAAATAAAAAATAATAGAAAAGAATTCATCTGAATAGCACAGATGGGCGGATCAGAAAACTTGACTTCGCCCGCCTCTGTAATGCGTACGCCGCCCATGAGTGTCACTTATGTGACAGGGGGGAGTGTAGTGAACGAGATAATTAGGTACCCCAGAAAAAAGTTCGTGTTTTGTGTGCGATCTGCCGGAGAAGGAAAATTCGGGCATTTTTGGCTACAGCGTTTGTTGGAGAGTGAGTTATTTTCCTGACGCGTTACAAGTGATTTTTTCTTTGTGTTGTGAAAGTAACAAATTTTCTTCGAGAACGCTTACACTTCACTACCATGAAAGTATTTATTGAAAAAGCACAAAGAGGTAAACTTATGGCAGTGGGAAAGTGACTGAAGTTGATATGATCCCTATTGATGTTAACGTTATGCCTCCATTCATCTTCCTACAGGGCCTCAGATTTAACATGGAGGCCTGCATTGAGTGCCTTGAAGAGGTAGTGCTGCCCCTTGTCAAGAGGGTTGCTGCTGAAGACCTTATATCTGGCAACAGGACTCAATACCATGGCACACAAGCAGGAGAACCCATTCATAGCAATCAGATAATTTTCTGCAACCACATCTCCCCTTACATTTGGTCATCTAACTCTGTCGACTACAACCCCCTTGACTATAATATGCGACACACAGTTGAGTGAAAGACCAAGAAAACTTCTTGTAACACCAAAGATGAAGTGAAGGCAAGGATTATGGCAGCATTCACCAACAAACAAGGAGACTGTCCAGAAGATTGGCAGGAGATTCTGAAGTCTTGGTTGAAGCCAATGGTGATTTTATTGAATAAATTTACTCTTTAGTATTTCAAGATATGTTTGTTTAATTTTGGTAAATATAGCTGTTAAAATTAGATGCTGGTGTTATTTTCATTTTTGTGTAATTTAGGCGACCATTTATCCATCGCAATTTATTCAAATGTTATTTCATTTTTTTTATCCACTAAAATGACATTTGAAGAAATACATTACTCTGTCAACAAATTTGTGAACCAATGCTTTAATCCACTAAGCTATTGTCATGTGGAACAATTATCTGTGTAGGACTTGGAGCCTTAAGCCTAACCTGCCTGCCTGCTGATGAGTACTGCTGTGATGCTGTTTGAGATATCCCTAGACATGGGCAGTGGAACGAGAACAGACTATCCCAGTAGATTAAATGAAGGGTTCAGTTTGGAATTTCCTGTAAGTTACCTGAATCGCTATACTGCTGATGAAGACCATGGTGTACAACAGCTGAAACATGATAACAACAATAAAGATGAGGAGAGTAGTCCAAATGTAAATAAACTCAGACAGAAATTTTTCATTAATATTAACAGGTTTGCTCATTATCGGATAGACCTTGTGTATATATTTTTATATTTCTTGGTATGTACACTTGAAGAAGGAAAGAATGGACTAGAAAGCTTTACAAGTATTGACACGTTCTGATTTACGTGTTGTTGACAGGTCTTAACTCCATAAAGCGATCATCTTAAAGAGGTTAGACCAGATAATTAGGATTTAGTATTTTCACTTGATAACAGTTTCAGGTCAGACAAATAAATGCTCATTGTGATGTCTAATTAATACTTTTTTATTTTGGTCGTCACCTTCTCATTCATATACGCTTCTCAGGTTTTAAAACTATGTAAATAATATTACACTCTCCCACTCTTTTTTAACACTTTGTATACTATATACTGGTAAACCAATGAAGGTTTCTTATCCAATGTCTTACAGCCACATCATGTTAAAACCCCTGTTTCTGTACAATCCCCGAAGTTAAGCAATGGTCCACCTAGTCAGTACTTAGATGAGTGACCATTTGGGAATACCAGATGCTGTAAACCTGGATGTGCAGGCAGTGTAATGGATAATAGCTCGGAATTGTTAATCAAAGAGCTGAGTTCCAATTCCAGTTGGATTTGTTATATTCACTTATATGCAATTATCTTTTGGAAAGGTATGAATCCACTTCTCTCCCCCCAACTGTGGGTTAATTAGTAAAACTTGTATCATTAAACCATTATTATCTCTAAAAAAAATTTCTTACAATATAAAAATATTTTCTGGTCTTAAATAACTTGCAAAGGGTTGATAAGCCATAGAAAACGAATCAAACAATCAATGAAATACTGATTAGATACACAGGCATGTCCTTTAGATTTATTTACATTCTCTGGAATAGAAATGTATAGAAACTACTCTGGCCACAAAGTGAGGGCTCGGTTTATGTATTGATTGTATTATAGAATAGATCCCATACTTTATACCCATATTGTAATTTCTTGTTTGTTTATCAAATTCTGATTAGTTATAAATCCACTTCTTCTCCCTCCTCTATGTGTTAATTAGTAAGTCTTGTATCACTAAACCATTATTATCTCTAAAAAATTTTTATATTCTATAAATAATTTCTGGCTTTAAATTTCTCTGGAATAGAAATGTCTAGAAACTATGGTGACCACAAAGTGAAGGCTCAGTTTATGTATTGATTGTAATATAGAATTGATCCCCCACTTTATATTGACATGGTTTCCTGTTAATCAAATTTTGATTAATTATGAATCCACTTTTTCTCCCCCATCTATGAGTTAATTAGTAAAATTTGTATCACTAAATCATTATTATCTAAAAAAACAATTCTTAAAATTAAAAAATATTTTCTGGCTTTAAATAACCTGCAAAAGGGTTGATAAGCCATAGAAAACAATAAATAATCTCAATGTTTTGTAAATTGATCCATTGCTGATGTTTGTTTTGTTTGTGTTGATTGTTTATAGCACAAAAGTGCTAAACTGTTATACAATATTGACAATCACACAGATGAAAAGATGGCTACAGAAGGATGTTGAAAATGCCATAGACAGAGCATGCAAGCAATGAAGAAGTCTTAAGGAAAATGGAAACTAAAAGGTATCTGCAATGAATAGGCATCTTACAGCTCAGGAGAAACCGAAAAATTATTTGCACTGCAAACAAACATGAAAAGAGCTGAATATGGGATTAAGACACTCAGGACCTCCACATGCAAGGGACAAATATAGCCAAGACACCAGAAACACGAACAAGGATGAATGAAGTCCAGGTGATACTGGGCAATACTCCTACTTTAACTCAGACAGAAATCCTCAGTATTGTATGACAGTCATGTCATACGCATAGCACAGTGGACTGTCCCTTCTCAGAAAATGTGGTTGCTTTTATTGAGCTCTAAACATTATAGCGGTTGACTAGCAAAACAAATCATTTGTATAACTAACACTGCTCAGCTCACCATCCTGACTATATTGTGTGCGGAGAAGTTAGATACCTTATTTCTTCATACACAGATATCCCAGGGTTTGTACTAGCTCTATCCTGGCAAGGC